TGCTTTTTTTTTTTTGTGTTAATCAACAGAATTCAAAAAGTTTATCAACTAGATTTCTAAAATATTACTAAGAAAAAAATCTAAATTATTTTAATAAAAAAAACCTTGGAAAAAATATTAATTTATTAAAATGACAAAATCTTAGGTGTTTTTATCCTAATTTTCTAAAAATCAAGCTAATAAACATTAGTACTACTCTCTTATGAATTTAATTTTTTTAACATTAATGTTGTTTTCATTTGTAAAAAAATTAATGTTGTTTTATGTTTATTAAATATTATTACATATGTTATATTTAATGGCAAAAAGGGCATTTAAACCCATATACTTTTGGATATACTTGAATTCAACCCTCCAAGTTTTCTTTGAAATACTTAAACCTTGCTACTTTTATGTTGAAATAAATCAACTCACAAACTTTTCGATTGAAATAAATTAATCCAAATGTAACTAATGATGTTATAAAATGTTAGTATTTTGTGAAATCTGACTCAAAGGCATTATGTTATTAATGACTTGCTTTGTGTAGGACCTAGTTACGTGACATGGTAAAATTTAACACTTATGGGGACAAAATGTAATGACATGGCTATAAAGATGTGAAAAGATGTGAACATGGACTTAAATTGTTCTAACATAAACCATTTCTCTAGCTTTTTAAATTGGGGCTACAATTTCCATTTGGATCATTATTGTCATCTTCCCTTTACAGGACATCCCCATGTCCTATAACCATTTCTCTGGCTTTAAATTGAGACCTAGCCTTCTCCTTGTCTAGCAGCTTTCCTCTTCTGTTTCGTTCTCTAGCTAACTCCATTCAAGTCCACCCATCTCGTGTCCATTCATCATCCTCAGACCCACCTACATCCAAAACCTAGAAAAGAAGGCACAAATCCTTGTGGAAGTACATCGGGAAATCAGAGATGGTCCCCTTTGCACATTTTGTGACACATGCCAAAGGACAGCACACCAAGTTGATCAAATCTTGCCTTGATCTTACATGGCCAACCTCGATTGGTAGCTGCTATTTTCAGATTATGATGAAAAATTAAAGGGAGTAGAGGCTAGACTTCTTTTATTTGTAGCATAAAGCAATTTGATCAGGAGGTACAAATTTTGTTCTTTTGTAGTTGAAGGTTGAGATCAGTTGAGGTTAGGTTGAATGATGGTGATGAGTAGGAGGAGACTGGAGATTAGGTATTCTTTGAATAAATAAAAGAAGTTTGAGGGATTTTTTGGGGTTTTGAAGAGGCAACTAACAATAGAAAAGGGATTGTGTTCTTCGAAGAACCCAAATCGAGTTCTCATACAAAACCTAGATCTAGGTTCTAGAACCCAATCAAAGAGAAAAAGAAAAAAGAAAACGGAAAGGGAGATTGTGGAAGAAGGATGAGAGAGTAACTGGGGAGGAAGAAATATCTTGATTTGAGTTTAGAACCCAATCACAAAAGTAGAGAAAAAAGAGGAAGAAAATGGAAAGGAAGATAAAAAAGGAAGGAGGAGAGAGAAGTGACAGAGGAAAAGTTCGGTTTAATTTTTTTAATTTTTTCAGTAAAAGGGTCCAAGCTAGCAATTTTATTTGCCATGTCATTATATAATGTCCACATTAGCATTAAATTTTTCCATGTCACATAAACGATCCCATAAATGCAAATCAACAATAACTTAACGACTTGATAATGGATTTCAGGAAAAGTTGACGTTTTATGACATCATCAGTTACACTTGGGCTGATTTATTTCAATTAAAAAGTTTGTGGATTGATTTATTTCAACATAACAGTATCAGGGGTTTAAGTATTATAGAAAAAAGTTGGAGGGTTGATTTCAAGTCTATTAAAAAGCACATGGGTTTAAATGTTCTTTTTTTGCCTATATTTAATTTATATAAAAATATATATTTATAGTTATTATATATTGATAATAATAAATTTGAAATGGTATTCAGTATGTATCAATAACAAAATTAATATTTATGTTGTATTGTATTGACAACCTTGTTTCCAATATAAATTTTATAGAAAAACTTTGCACTCTTAATTATACAAATTACTTTTATATATAATTATCTTTTTCATTTAAATAGTTATGCTAAATCTTAATATTTTTAATAAATAATAAATAATCAAAACTTTATACAATTAATATAAGTAAATAAATCCTAACTCTAGTAAATTGCAAAGTGAAATAAAATGTACTTTTTTGAAAACATTTCCATAACTTTGACTTTACATGGTCCCCACCAAAAACATAAAATTATAAACGATAATTTCCCTCAATTATTAGTTTATTGCCTTTTCTGAAACTTTTATTCCCATTTATCTTACTAACGCATTACACAATCATTTTATCTCATTTTTTATATAATTTGATGTGTTATTAAAATTATTAATTTTTTTAATTTATATGAAATTAATAATATTAAATGTATTTACTTAATTAATACTATGTAAAAATTATATAAAAAATAAGACAAAAAAATTATCCTTATAGCCACCCTTACCCAAATTTCAACAAAAAATTCTTCTTTTATTTCGATTTAATTTCATTTAGACCTCATTTAAAACATGAATATGTTCGGCTCACCAAAATAAAAAAACATGAATGTGTTTTTCATTATCATAGTAGGTACTAATTCCATGTCATAATGTC